TTGCTCATATTATGGAACTATACCGGCGTTGCAATCATTGTATTCTTCATCGCCGGTCCAAAACTATTGAAACAAATATATCTCATACTCTTGACAGAAAATGTGGCTTTAATTCTCATGTTAGTATTGCCCAAATGGACTACCTGGGTGCTTTTGTTTCTCATGTGTGGTTGGGACTTATATGCAGTGCTTCACAAAACAGGTATTCAATATAATTGTGTTTTGGTTTGTGAATGAATTTCAATTCTATGTGAATGTTAGGTCCGCTCAACAGAATGATGGCATCGATGGACACGAATGAGACAGAAATGCCTCCTCTTCTCTACTCGACAGCCATTTGGGTATTAATGAGCGATAAGAGTCAGAAGAGGGACACAGACCACGACTCTGGCGTTCAGTTAGGTTTAGGAGACTTTGTTTTCTACAGTCTATTAGTGGGCACATCCTTCGCATCGGCAGATCTGTTGACTGCAATCATGTGCTGTATAAGTATATTGGTTGGACTGGCCATCACTCTATTCATACTACTTATAAGGAATACCCCTCTGCCAGCCCTTCCCATATCTATAACACTCGGAGTTTTGACTAATTTTTGTGCCGAATATTGTGTCATTCCTTTCAATGATGCCCTTCAGGATAGGCTTATATTTATATAGATTTAAATTATATGAATTCATTGTTTTTAACGAATTTCTAAAAATATTTTTAACTTTAAATAGTTATAAAGTTCAAAATTAAAATATACAAATATATAACATATTGTATAACAATTTGTTATTAACAAATCAAATGGTATTTGAAATGAATGGCATTGGAGTTATAGCCACAGGGGCTCCGACTGTTCAGATTAAGAGCACGTGAAGGTGTCTTTCAGACGATAGGAAAATAATATAATTTGGATTTTTTTTTTGATCATTTGATTTCTGAGTTGTTACTCAAACTATGGACAGGGATTACGATATTCAGTATATATTTCACAAAACTATTCTAAATAATATTTTTATGGTAAATATTCACCTATTTGTAGTTTGTTGTAAAACTGTTACAATAATAATACCGGTAATATATTTTACTATACAGTAATTGATGATTGATAGGTTTTTAGAAATTAAATATAATATGTTTTAAATATATATATTACTAGTAAATAGATATTAAATGTGTATTTAATTATGAGTAAATTTGTTAAAACATTTAAGTGAAAACATTTAATTTCACTAGTATTTATATACTGTACAATAATAGGTTTTTAGTTTCCTGTTTTATTATAATATACTTAAAAGTTTCTAAATATTGAAAATTATATTCAACATTCGTGAGTTTGTTATATAATATTATAATGAGTCTGCTAATGATATTTTAATTTCTTAATCAATACTTTTCTTAAAAAAAAGTTTAGCATTAATTTTATTTTTCTTTCTTTAAGTTAAAATAGAAACATTTAATTGAAAGAAAAATCAAACCAACAAAACATACAAAAACTCTTAATTTATAAACTTTTCTTTTATATAAACTTTAAACAAAAAAGAATTTCTCAAATCATTAACTGTTTCTCAATTGTCTGTATTTAACTCTCTCTCTCACTCACTCACTCTCTCTCTCGCATTGAACAAACACTTTGTATTAAACATCTCATTGTCTTTTAAGCATAAAATTAATGAAATGCAATACTCGTTATTGTGATTATTATTATATACAGTATATGATATACTGTATATCTATGTTTTTCATATAATTATATACTTTGTTAACAAAACGACTAACTCATATAACTCATTGCTCACAAAATGATCAATTATTCGGCGTTTTCTAACCTTATTATCATTAAAATAGTATTTTATGCACAAAAAGGATTGTCTGGCAAACGATAATTAGTAATCTCTAGGATTTTATGTGAATATACTTTCACTCACAAAGAGTTACGCCAAACATTTCTAAATACCTTTTACGGCATAAATATTGCATTTAATTACAAAACTTTTCTAATAATAATGACTGAGATTATAGTCGCCACTAAAGTGAAGAAAAAAATTGCAAAAATATTTTAATAACAATTTTTTGCATCGAAATACTGCATTAAATTACGAGTGGTTTCTAATTTTAAAACACATAAAGTGTTGCTAATAATCCCTTTAAAATTTTCATGTTTAGCATTAATACACTGGATATGTGTGTGAAGTCAAGCATTATTAGCCAGGTTCTTGTCCTTCACAATGTCGCCCATTATTCGCGATTTTTCGTGATTTTCATTATGGATGAGAGGGTTCTGTAGTCTAAGGGGCGGTACTATTCATGTGATAGCTTTTTAATTAACTCTTTTTTCTTTTAAATATTATATCAAACATAAAGTATATACATAATGTGTTTTGTGTGTGTATTTGTGAATCATTTTGAAAATTCTTGAATACAAATACATGAAAATGATTAGTATTTCTTTGGATAACCTTAAGACCGAGAGAATTAATTTTGCCTTTCATTTCTGTTTTATTATAATATATCTCTTAATAACTTTGAGAGTTATTTCAAAAATGATTTTAACGAAAGAAAAGTCTTATGTTTCAAATCCAGTCATTCGTTTGATTTTAATTGTTTGCTTTGAATCTCTACTGTATTTGAAAATTACTTTCAAAAAAAGTTATTTTATAAAACACAGTATTCGTGATAAGTCTATATATGAGATGATAACCAGTTTTTATTTACAACAAAACTGTTAATCCTTGATATGATTAATCTTAGAGGTGGAGACGGTATCTCATTGTCGAGCCATTGATGCAATAACTGCTAAATCTTACCACAAGTTTCTCATATGTGTTGACCAAAGATATAATCAATGTATTCGGGTTTTCCAGGCATGGGTGGGCTCATTGACCATGTTTTTGGTGTGATCTTACCATTGCATATACCGTAGGTTTTAATCACAGATGCATTGATCAATACATCAATAGAAATGAGAGTATATTTTGACATTTGATTTGCAATATTAAATGTAATGTGTTTTTGACATTCATTAAGAAATACACATTTTCAATGCAATACACTTTCGATGTACTCTACTTTGATTGATAAGTTAAACCGATTTTAATTAGTGACGGAATGCTAAGAATTTTTTGTTTAGATATTATTTAGACAATCATTTACTAACTTATTCAGTTATTTAATTTATTAATATTTTTAATTAAACTTAAATTTAAATAAACTGAACAACTCTTACAACTCTTAAAAGTCTTGTCATAACATCTCATTTATTATTCAAATTAGTCTTCAAAATTCACACTTTATTTCCTTATGTAATACTCGTATTAAGAATCCTGTCATTTATGCAAATGAGTAGTGTTTTCATAAATATATTCATTATGTACTTGTTATATTTATGTAATCAATGCAAATTCCGTATAAGTGAATATCAATTAAGTTTTTTGTTTTTGTTTAGCAATTATTAAATATTCGTTAAATAGCGTATTAATAAATATAATTATTGAATTTTGTTTATAAATTAGTGTTTTAACGACAGCATTAAAAATAAAATTCATTTCAAACTTAAAACTTCATACTTTTGTTATTTTTCTAAGTTCTGAGAAATTACTCATTTTTAAAATAATAATCCACATAATGTTTACAGATCTGTGAATCGCATTCAAGGTCTTCAATTAGGCCTTAAATACCAATCATTTCTATCGGAAATTCAAATGTCTATCATATTTGACAATATCTTTACATAATTCATGGTTTGTATTAAGAGTTTAATGATATTCAACATAACATTTGAAACGAATTCTAACCTCAAATAATAATCATATTTATTATTCGTCGAAATCTCTGTCTATAATAATTGGGAAAACTTTTGATTTCCCTGAAAATATTTTGATGAAATATTTATAGGCCAAAAATTGGTGATAATTTTGCACTTAAATTAACATCAAGTTTGTAATAGGAAACGACACTCAATCAAAGCTATTAAATAGAAAACTCTCACAAAAAAGTGAAACTATTTAGCCATTTGAATACCTGTCTCCTAAATATGTACTTTTAGTCTCCAGTAATCCTAAGAAAGATGTATCGGAGAGTCAAATGTATGAAAGAAATGTCTTATTTGATGATAATATATACTGTGTATCGATTTAAGTGAGAAGGAATGGGATCAAGGCTACCATCAAAGCACTCGTAGTTATTCCCCTAAACTTAAATCTTCGACACAATTCATTATAATCTCACTCTCTTTAAAAAACTTTCAATTTTTTTCAAATAGACTTTTACTACTCTTATTAGAAACACTTGTTAATCTCTCTCTCTCTCTCTCTCTCTCTCTCTCTCTCTCACTCGCTATAAGAATCTGAGATATAAGATAAAGTCTGACTTAACAAACTTCGGCATAAAAATTATGAATTTAATTTGCAACTAATCAATGATTCTGTCAATGAATTTTCATTTGTAACAAAAAAATCAAGTTTTCATTGCATTTGATTTTTTATGATTAAAATTCATAACAATCTGTTAATTAATTTGAATGTAGAATAAGCTCTCAATTGGCTTAAGACAAGTGTCTGGGATATGAAATGTAATTGTATTTGAAATGAAAAAATAATTTATTGGCATCAAAAAATTGAGTTAAACACACAGAATACCAGCCCCACAATACCAGCCCCACCACCAAAACCATTGAATGTGTGAGTGTTTGTGGCCATCGGTTTGAAGTAGTGGTGAAGACCACACCCATCCATAACTATGTCTAACCGTTAAACGCATTGACAAAAGAAAAGCTATCACTTCAAGGAAGCACTGGTATGTGTGGCTCAAGACCTTGGATTCAGATGCAAACCAAACACATCCAGTTCTTGCGTAAAGAAAAAGTTGTGAGTTTTGTTGCATCTCCTGGCGCTCCTCATCCCAGGCCTCCACTACATCCCAACTCCTCTCAACGCCCAGTGACGTCAGCATCGGATCGGATGCCCACAAAGGTATATAAAAACTGATCCCAAGAGACAACTTTCCCATTCATATGAAAATCATTTCGATTTCGCTGTGAACTAAAGCAACCAAAACTCCCATCAAAATGAAAGTCGCTGTCGTTGTACTCGCTCTCTGCGGATATGTCTCCGCCGGTGTCATCGGATACGCCGCCCCAGCCGTCGGTGTCCTCACCAGCGGTCAGTCCTCTCAGTTCCGCAGCCAAGATGTAAGTCATCGGAGGATTAATCGGAGATTTTGATCTCATTTGTCTGCTTTTCTTGTGTGCCTTCAGAACATTGGAAACTATGCTTTTGGTTACAACGAAGATCACGCCACTGGAGGCACCTTCAGACGAGAGGAGGGCGCACCCGGTGTTCAGGTCGGCTCATACGGACTCAGGGACGCTGACGGACGCGTCCGAGTCGTCAACTATGTGGCCGATGCCGGCGGCTTCAGAGCCAACATCCAGACCAATGAGCCGGGAGTTGAGCCCAAGGATCCCGCATCCGTTCTCATCAACAAAGCCCAGGCTATTGTTGGTAAGGAATAAGCCATTAGAAGGTCACACCAGTCATAACTAATGGGATTCATTTCATCTCATACCAGCCCCCGCTGTGGCCGCTGCACCTCTTGCCGCCCCCATAGTCCAGACCCATTTGGCCGCCCCAGTCGTGTCCCACTACAGCGCACCCGTCGCTGTGGCCGCTCCCGTCCAGAGCCACTCCTACTCCACTCATACCCAACACGTAGCCGCCGCTCCGGTGGTCAGCCACTTCGCTGCCCCCGTCGTGCACAGCCACTTGGCCGCCCCCTATGCTTCCCAAGTTGTGTCCACCCATGTGGCCGCTCCCTTTGCCGCCCCATTGGCCGCACCGGTCGCTTATGCCACCAAAACCATCCACTCGGCTGCCGCCGCCCCTCTCATCAACTACTGGTAATCAAACAAATTGTCTAAACCTTTAGATAATTTATCGCAAGAAGACGTCCACCCGATTGATAAACTCTTTATGTGTGATCTCTATCTCCTATCTCTCTCTACTCATTGTCCGTGTAATCGATTTATTAAACTTTTTATTTACGGATAAATTGTATCAATAAATCATTACTTAAGTTACAGTACAGATCAAGAATACTCTCTCTCTCTCTCTCTCTCTCTCTCTCTCCCCTACTATTTGTGTCGGTGTGAGGACTACCGATGCCCTGTGTATCGAGTGTTCCCTCCGGTAACGGATCGATAGCCTGTCCTCAAAGTCAAGTGAATTGTTTTTTTCTTTCACTCTATAATTAAGTGTAAATAAAAATATTTTTATAGTAAACCAATTATTTTTGAATACCAATTCAACTGTAACTGTGTTCACAAATTAATTGTCTCAATGTTTTGTTCAGTTAATTGTCAATAAAGTTATAGTTTTAGATTTGATACATTTGTTCACTCACTTTAATTTGGTTTTAATTATATATAATTGGTAAGCAATTGATACTAGGTAACAACTTTCCATCAGAATTAAATCTTGGTAATAATACATTTGAAATCAAAACATACAAGTCAAAGTAATGAATTAGTTTTGTTTTAACATAAAAAAGTTTCAATGCAAAATTAATGGACTGTTTAAATAGTATTTAATATATAGTTAATAAACATTTCATAGTTAGCTAAATATCGACAAAATTAATTATAAACTTACAAAATGGTTGTAAAATCATTAGAAATAGTTATGAAAGGGTAGAGTAATATTGAATAATAATAATCAATTGCATATTTTAATCACATTTAATAAATGAAAGAAATAAAGTGAATCTAATAGTCTATAGTATAGTCATATTAACTAATTGTAAAATCATTGCCCAAATAATGTTGACTACAAATTGTGTGAATCCCTTGAAAAGTGGCGCCTTTTATAGACAACACGTGTTGAGTGAATGTGTGAACCAATGGGCGATCGATGCGTTCAATGAGTAAATGCGGCAAAACTGAGCACTAATTCAATGCAAACA